GATTATGGTTTGCAACATAACTGTGCTAAAACAAATATTTTACTGCATTTTCATAAGTTATTCAGTTGATATACACATTACTGCTATGCAATATTATTAATGTTAAAGTCATTATTCATATAATGCTGGTGTTGACCACTGTGATATGAATAATAGTAATGGTAAATGATATTACAATAATGATAATAACAGTAGTAATAAATGATAATAATGATAATAGTAATAGCAATGACAGTGATAATAATAATTATAATAATAATAATACATTCATTGATAACGACGACTATCCCGGCTATATTTAGTTGGCAGGTATCGACAGGATCTCTTGACACCAAATGTGATGGCTTTGAGGATGCGAATTGGTTCTAGAAAAAAAACTATTCATTCTTCTACTTATTATTTCTATTACTATGGTTATAATAATAATAATGGTAAAATTAATAATATTCATCATTTTAGTAATAGTATTAGTATTATAAACATCATTATTATTATTTATCATTAATATCATTTATATAGAAGACAAAAGAGATCGTAATGTTTTCGTGTGTGTGTATATATATATATATATATATATATATATATATATATATATATATATATATATATATATTACTCTGGTTGCGACTTCACTTCGACATCCTTTTAATAAATTCCGAAAACATATGTCGTATATCAATAATATTCTCGTAAATTCTTATTTCTTGTAATAAAAATATATGTAAGTCATGTAAAGCGCAAGTGTTTGTAGGATAACAGTATGCGATTGCTTTATGTGAGTTTCTTGTTTTGAATTGAAATTAATAGTGTGTATAGTTCCTTTGTTATGACACCATCACAACCATGGGTGTCTGAAAATGGAAATCTGGAAGGTAATAAATGGGAAATACAAAGCTTTATGGAATATAAGATCTTCAGGTTTCCAACTTTGGTTATATATTACAAAGAAGTTTCATCGTATCATTCTGGCTTGGAAGAAATAGTATCACAAGATAGCCGAGTTTTGAAGTCTCTGAGGCCACAAAATAGAAACTGGTCACGGTTGTAATTTAAGCGTTCCTTAGAATAACATTTATTTTCTTCGTTGTTTGTTTGCATTACATTTACATAATTTAGATAAGATATTTACGTATCAGCTTGAATCGATTTTATTACCACGTAATGAAAAAGAAAATATTAATCGGCTAGCGACACTAAGTATCTATGTGCTTTTCTGAATATGCAGTTTGTGAAATCGCGACCGAGCTCGGGATAATTACTGTCGTGAAATAGTTAATCCATATTTCTCCATCGAGAAAAAATGGCATTAATTGAGGCGTACTGGATTAGGGATTATTTTATATTGTGAATATTTTCGGTCTAGAAACTTAGAAAGAAAGTTATATGTACACACACACACGCACACACACGCACACACACGCACACACACACACACACACACACACACACACACACACACACACACGCACGCACGCACACACACACACACACACACACACACACACACACACATATATTTTATGTGTGTGTGCATGTTTGTCTATCTGTGTGTTTCGGCATACGTATATATCAACAAAACACTGTCACATTCGTATTTGGTTACGTCTTCGCTGAGTGCTGCCCGATGTTCATTATCCTCAACCTCAGGCTCCCTTTTAGCCCCACTCCAACAACCCGTGTGTGTTTCCTTCAGCCTGGCCGGCGAACAACATCTCCAATCTCCTGCGGAACGTCCTGCTGTGGCTGTGGGGCGGGATGAACGTCGACACCGACTGCATCTGCGTCAGGAACGTCACGAATCTGCATAACGTGATGGCCTACGATGAGGTCGGGCAAATCGCCAACAACGCCATCATGCATTTTGACGCTCAAAGCCCATTCACGTTCGCGTTGATGTCGTACATGAAGAAACATTTCCAAGTGAGTCGTGATGTTGATGTCAATGTTCTTTTGTTTTGTTTTTTCGTTTTTTTACATCTCTTTTTCTTAAGGAAATCATTGAAATACAGAGGCAATTATCTTTTTCAAATAATATGAATCAAACGGAAAATGTAAGAGGGAAGAAATATTAAAACAATGCTTGGTCTCTTCATAGTGAAGCGTGCAAACAAAATAAACAAACAAATGAATGGATAAAGAAAGAAAGAAAATATACAGCCACCTCACTCTTTCCCAGGTGTCAAAGTGGCATGTGAACGGGCCGGGTACAGCCACGGCCGTTACGAAGCAAGTATGCAATGCCACGGATATGAATGACGTCTTCATAAAAAAGTGCAGTAACGTGACCCTCCTTCCGTTAAAGAATTTGCAGATAGTTCGGTGGAACCAATGGAAAGACTTCTTCGAGGGCGAACCAGAAAAATTTATAGAGGTTTGTATGTTATATAGATAGGTATTGTGTGTTTTTCTTTTTTCTTTTCAGACACAAAAATGCATTCGTAGGTTCACGACTTATACACACGTTTCATTACGGCCAAAATGTGTAAAAACATGTTTCGGATTCCCGTCTCGAACACGCAAATAATGCAACCCTTATTGTTTGTTAGATGGGTTTCGGAGCTTCATTTGTGACACATTTTTTCCTGCACAATATTATAAGTTGACTATCGTTCTAGCCTTACCGAAAACAATAAAAACATCACACAACTGTTTGTTACTGTTAGGTAATTGTTGTGTATATTGGTTGTGCTTTTTAAACAATCTAGAGCAGTGGTTACCAACTGGTGGGTCGCGGAATGTATATTTAAACAATACCATGAAACAATGTCTGCAAGGAATACTGTGTTATTGTGTTAGGCAAATAAAGATTGCCAAACATTTTTTTTTTCTCGTAGACTTAAGACCGTTACGAAAATTACACATGAAACAGCTGTTGCCCGGGCTGGGGCTGAGGTCCCAATGATCTGGTGAGCCGGACCAGAGGACTACCCATACTGGAGGGGTCACCAGTGAGGGATGAGACAAAATGGCTTCCTGGTGCACCAAGGCCTATGAGAGGGATGGTGCACCCACCCCTGGTTCATTCCATCTTGGACCAGGGAGAACTCTCCCACGTGTATGCCGTGCGTGGCGTCCCATATTACCAGGAGACAGGAGTCCTGGAGGTTGAGCGATGCTGCACGCTGCGCCCTGCAGCTAGCAACACGCCTCTTTGGTCCTCTATTCTGGTCAGACGGGCGGCTTGATCAAGGCCCGGTCAAGTCAATCGGCTGGTCAATATGGCTAGGGTCAAGCAGGCACTGTTCAGTCGGTAGCGCATGGGTCCCGCGACTACCATCAGCACTAATGGTGACTGCGTATTTCCTCACTACCCCTGTGGCTCTTGGGAAAATTTGAGCCCCAACTATAGCTTCCCCTCGTTGGACTCCATGGTGGGTGGGGGGGTGAGGAAATGAAGATTTCTAATTTGTATGATTACTACAAATTTAAAAAGAACTTGCTCTCTCCCTGACGACATTCGCAATCCCCTGGCCAATCCCTCTGGAACATCACATATTGTCACTCTGGAACCTTACCAGATTACAAAGGGCAAAAATGGGAATCGTAATGGTTCCCGAGCTCCCAAACCAGGTAAGAAGGAGAAAAGTCCTCCTCAATCCATTAAGGAAATCTTACCTGGTAAATACGAAAGTGTATCTTATAGTAAATACTTAGTGGTGAAGACCATCGATGGTGTATCTATCATGGATCTTGATATTTTTGAAGTGCATCGGAAGATAGTTGAGGTGTGCCAACGTGATCCTCGCATCACCCTACAGCGAGATGGTAGCCTGATAGTTGAGGTATCATCACCAGATGAGAGTGACCATCTGCGCAAAATATGCAACATTCCTGGGGCTCAAGTCTCATGTTCTCCTCACAAAACCCTCAATCAGTGTAAGGGAATTGTCTTTTCCCGAGACCTGATGAGGTATTCTGAGGAGAAACTGTAAGAAGAACTGAAGAATTTTAATGTAGTAGCAGTAAAACGTTTTAAGAAGAAAGTTGATGGTTTGGAACAGTCGACACCAGCTCTTCTTCTAACTTTTGAATCCTTAGTCCTTCCAGAATCGGTTAAGTTAGCATGGTACCGCCTCAAGGTCATGCCATATGTACCAAACTCTATGCGGTGTTTCCACTGCCAGGGTTATTGGCACGGAGCCAACTCTTGCTGTTTTAAGGAAAATGGACAACCAAGAGTGTGTGTGAAGTGTGGTACAACAGGTCATCAAGGAGATGACAACTGTCCAGGTCCAATATACTGTTACCACTGCAAAGAAGATCATGAATCTTCTTCTAAGCAATGTAAAAGGTACAGATTTGAAAAAGAAGTATTGGTAATAAGGAGCAAGGAGAAAGTTAGTTTTGCAGAAGCAAAGCGACGTGCCGTGTGCTGTTTGCACAGCCGGGTAAGTCCTTTGCTTCGGTTCTAGCCCATCCTCCTTCCCGCCATCCCTTACCCTCCAATACTTCTAACACCACTCACTCTGCCACTACCGTTACACATCAGTACTCACATGTTGAAACTGATTCTGGTGAGTTGGTCCACCAGAAACGAAGTAGGAGTGAGGGGTCTATTGAGGAGACTCCTCCTCCCAAAGTAAGGTCTTTGGAGCCATCAGGAAAGTCTCCAGAGGCCTCAATGGTGACAGCTTCAGCTGCCACCACATCCACAGGGGCCTCTACTGCTAGGCAGGATTCCCCTGAAGCAAAGGCTCAGGTACACCTTTTGCACAGGCAGAGGAATCCTGAGCCTGTTCAAAAGACTACTCATAGAATCGGGTCTTTGGAGCCACCAGGCAGGGCTCTAGAGGCCACCACATCCACAGGGGCCTCCGCTGCTAGATAGAATGCTCCTGAACCAAAGGCTCAGGTCCGTCCTTTGCCCAAGCAATGAAATCTTGAGTCTGCCCAAAGGAAGCCTGTGGAAACTAGTTCCACAGGTAAACAACCCATAAAAAGATATCCCCAAGATGCTGGAAAGGGACAGTCTAAAGGTGTGGGGCGGACCTTAACCATAGATGCTGCCAAACACCTTATGAAGTAGTTTGTCAACCTGAAGAACTGGATACCCTAATCCAATGGAATTGTCATGGAATTCATGCAAAATGGGAAGAATTGCAACATCTGATAGCTTCTTGTAATCCAGTTTGTGTATGCCTACAAGAGATTATGATCAGGGAAAATCGTCCAATTTCCCTGAGAGGATTCCAAGTTCAAGCCCATTATGGGACCTTTGATAATGGACCTCATGGTGGAGTTGCAGTGATGGTACGTCAGGATATTCCCTTCCAGGCCATCCACCTGCAGACAACACTGCAGGTGAAGGCTGTGAGAATAGGCTTGACCTTACACTATTGCATCTATCTACCTCCCTCCGCATAATCTTAACATAGATGATTTGGAAGATCTACTTGGGCAGCATCATCCATTTCTACTTTTGGGAGACTTCAATGGTCGCCATCATCTCTGGGGAGACACTTTGTGCAACCCTCGAGGAAGGGCCTTGGAGTCCTTGTTCTCAAGAGTAGATGCAGTTTTACTGAACAGTGACGCACCCACACATTTCCAAATTCAAACTGGGACATTCTCCAATATTGACCTGTCAGTTGGTTCCCCTGATTCCCAGTTGAATTTCACTTGGCAGGTGATGGAAGACTTACATGGAAGTGACCACTTTCCAATACTTTTGAAAGAGGTGAATGGTATTCCAGCCAATGGAGTGCAGAGATGGCGACTTGAACATGCAGACTGGAATCTTTTTAGATCAACTGCAGTATTGCAAGGATCTGTGAATGATTTCCAGTGTGTTCATGATGCTGTTAATCACTTCACATCGCGGATTCACCTTGCAGCAGAAGCATCAATTCCCAGAAGTAGCGGGCAGTACCGTCGACCTCCGGTACCATGGTGAATGCCAACAAACTATCAGAGCAAGAAAAGCTGCATTAAGCCAGTTGAAACGACGCCCAAGCGATATAACCTTGATCCAGTACAAAAAAAAAAACGCGAGCTAAGGCCAGGAGAGTGCTAAAGGAGGCTCGACGGACATCGTGGAGGCAGTATGTCTCCTTGATTAACTCTGGGACCCCCTTAGCATGGGTATGGGACAAGGTGCGTAAGATCGCTGGAAAGAGCACATCGATAACACCACCTGCTCTGAAAATAGATGGCATAATCCTCACAGACAAAACAGATGTTGCAAATGAGCTGGCAAAATCCATGGCACAGATCTCGTCTGGAGCATCTTACACTGCCCGATTCTCCACTCTGAACAGGAACGACACCCAGTGTCGTTCTTCAGTAGCAATGCAGCAGAACTTTCATACAACTTGCCATTTTTGCGCAAAGAGATGGACTCTGCTTTGCAGCTCTGCCGTAAGACTGCCCCAGGAAGTGACGATATTCCATACCAAATGATATCTCACTTACCGGAGAGCTCCCAAACGTTCCTATTGGAGCTATTCAATAGGATCTACAGGGAGGGAACAGTGCCATCCACATGGAAAGAAGCTATAATCATTCCTGTCCCTAAACCTGGCAAGGATGCTTCCATACCAGGGAATTATAGACCAATTTCTCTCACCAGCTGTATCTGCAAGTTGATGGAGAAAATGGTAAACTTCAGGTTGACATGGCTACTAGAAAAAGAAAACGTGCTGATCCCATATCAATATGGGTTTAGAAAACTGAGATCGATCACAGATGCATTTGTAAGGATGGAAACTGCTATACAGAATTCCTTCACACAGCGACGCCATATGATAGCAGTCTTCTTTGACCTTGAAAAGGCTTATGATACGACTTGGAAGCATGGCATACTCATGAAGCTGTATGACATTAGTTTAAGAGGAGCATTGCCAACCTTCATACAAAGCTTCCTTGCTAACAGGAAGTTTAGAGTGAGGGTGGGAAACAACTTCTCTAACCTGGAAGATCAGCTGGAAGGAGTCCCACAAGGGAACGTCTTGAGTGTGCCCCTGTTTGCCATTGCTATCAATGACATCGTAAAGGTCGTTCCAAGTGTTGTCTCATGTAGTCTGTATGTGGATGACTTTACACTGTACTGCTCAGGAGCAAGCTTACAGGATGTGCAAGGACACATGCAGACTAAATGCAATAAATCAGGTTGTGCAATGGGCAACATACTATGGCTTCAAATTTTCTCCTAGCAAGACCATGGCTATGCATTTCCACAAACGAGGAAGGTTTCACCCTTGCGTGTATTTAGGAGCAAACCCACTACATTTTGTCCAACAGGTAAAATACTTGGGTCTAATTTTTGACTCAAGGCTTACATGGGTGCCTCACATTAAACAGTTAAAGGTGAAAGCTACAAAAGCTCTTAGTATTTTGCGGGTTCTTTCCCACCTATCTTGGGGTGCAGACCGCACAACGCTTCTGCGACTTTACCGAGCACTTATTCATAGTAAACTTGACTATGGATGTGAAGCTTATTCATCTGCCACTCCCAGCGTTCTCCGGATGTTGGACTCGGTTCATAATGAAGCCCTGAGAATTTGTATAGGGGCTTTCAGGTCTTCACCTGTGGAGTCCCTGTATGCTGAGAGTGGAGAACCACCTCTTTCATTACACCGGGACTACATGAACCTGATTTATTACACGAGACTACAAAGGATTCCGGGATCTCCTACATCCAGATTGGTTTTCAACCCCCTTGAGGATGGCCGATCCTATGGTAGGAGAATGAGGAATCTTGTGGAAGAACTTAATTTAAATCTCACAAAGGTTCTGGCTATTGGAACTTCCCAAGTCCCCCCTTGGACTAATCAAGTCGAGCTTGATTTGGTCGGAATTGGGAAAGGGGAGAGATCCGAAGCAGAAGTCAGAGAGAGATTTTTTCAACACACTTCTAAGTACCAGGGATCATATGCAATATATACAGATGGTTCGAAATCTGAAAATGGTGTGGGCTTTGCAGCAGTGAGCAGAAGGAAGACTGCATCTGGCAGTCTTTCTCGATCAGCCTCGATTTTCACTGCAGAGTTACATGCCCTCCTTGTAGCAGTCAAGATGACTAGAGATCTTCCGAACAATTCTATTATAATATATTGTGACTCTCGTAGTGCCTTGCAAGCAATCAAGAGCTTAAACTCATCACATCCAAGGTGTTCGCCGCTAATGACCTTAGCTGTTGACGCGGCAGATAATTTTAAATAATCAATCAATCAATCCGGGCTGGGGGTGTAGCGAATATACCAAGGGATTTGAGAAAGTAAAAATGATCTGGGTACAGTTTAATATCTCCCTCTTCTTAGTAAACTGGCATCTCAAGGATATTCTTATAGGAAGGGTTTGTTAGACATTTCAACACGTAGAACAACAATGTCATTATACCACTTTTGAAAGTTCTCGCTAATTCTCTAGTTCTCTCTCTCTCTCTCTTCTTTCTTATTCGCGTGTGTGAATGAATGGATGCATAAAAATACACATATTGTCCATATATATGAGTGTACGTGTGTTTATATATAAGCATTTGACTTATAATGGACAAATGTAATTATGAGTATATTAGTGAATATATATTAATATACTCATCCATAATATTTTCCTTTTCCAGACACACAAAGACGGCTATATTATGCATATGTACAACAAACTCAGCAAGGAAACACCTATTAAAATAGGATCCAAAAACGTCTATGATCACATATCTAGAACCTTTTGTCCTGTCACTTATAGTGCTGCCAAACGTAGAGCATTTTTCTTCTAGTTTATTTCAATGTTAGTTTTTTTTTTGTATCATATTTTGTAAAACATTTTCCCAGATGTCGAATGCCTTTTTTAGGACTAATAATTTAATAATGTTGAATAACTTTTTAATTTTAGTTTGTACCTACCTGGACATCTTTCAATAGCATAAAACAAATGATAGAAATGAAAACGGAGTAATAACATTTAATATTTGATTGTAATAAAAGAAATTAGACTCAAATATCCTGTATTTCGTGTCATGTTTTTATTGTTATCACTCTCATATCATTATTATTATTTCCTAATCCGGAAAATAACATAATGATACGATAATGATTCTCTTTATCGCTTACCTGTTATTTTAACAGTAATTTATATATTTATTTATGTATCTATCTTTTAACATATGAAGCTTAAAGTGATTACAAGAGGAAGCCAAGAGAAGAGTATCGTCTCTATTCACATATGTCTAAACATTTCTCTTTTTTTTTTTTTTTTCTTGTTTTTCTTTTTCTTTTCCTTTTTTTCTTTTTTTCTTTTTCTTTTCCTTTTTTTCTTTTTTTTTCTTTTTCTTTTCCTTTTTTTCTTTTTTTTTTCTTTTTCTTTTCCTTTTTTTTTTTTTTTTTTTTGTTCTACTTTGGGAAAAAAATACATTTATTTTTTCCTAATGCCACATGTAAGAATTATTTATATTACCTTAAGCTAAGAAGACGAAGTTGGATATACTATTTTGTAATGAAGTTATTTGGTTGTCAACATAACCTTGTAGCATGATTATGATAAATGTATATATGAAAATTGTTTATATTATATTTAATATATATATACATATATATATATACATACATATATACACATATATATGCATTTATATTTATACATGTATATATATAATACACACACACACACACACACATATATATACATATATATATACATATATATATATACATATATACATATATATATACATATATATATGTATATATATATATATATATATATATATATATATATATATATATATATACATGTATATATTATATATATGTGTGTATATGTATGTGTGTGTGTGTGTGTGTGTGTGCGTGCGGATGTGTATGCACACATATTTATACATACATATGAATATATATTTGTAAATAGATGTATATATATACATATACATGTGTGTATATATAATATATATATATATATATATATATATATATATATATATGTGTATGTGTGTGTGTGTGTGTGCGTGCGGATGTGTATGCACACATATTTATACATACATATGAATATATATTTGTAAATAGATGTATATATATACATATACATGTGTGTATATATAATATATATATATATATATATATATATATATATATATATATATATATATATATATATATATATATAGATGTATATATAAATGAATAAACTTATATAACTGAATAAATATATATATATATGTGTGTGTGTGTAAATATAAATACATATATGTAAATTATCACTACTTCGTAAATTTCGGGCTGTGCTGAAAGCATTATGAAATACAAAACACATTATAGCGTAAAAAAATAATCTGCTACATTTCATCTATAAATTTTCCATTTACTAATGGATTTGTATGTACAAATTTTTTTGTCTTTTCTTTTGTAAATCTATGTTAAAGAAATTTTGAATATCTTATTACCCTCAGTAAGATATATATAAACATTATTCCTATTGACTATAATTCTACTTCGGTGTCATTTTTTGAATCAAAGGATAAAAATTAAAATGTGACACTCCCACGATAAAAAAAGATATTAATTCAGAAATTAATCCATAATAAGGTATTCACATGATTTCCGAAAGGGTACTAGTTACATTATCATCAAAGAATTATTATAAAAACTAATAAAACACTTGCCATATGTGTATGCTATGAATTTTTAATTTTCCCGCCAATTCAATGAATGGGAAAATCAGGATCGGTAACTAGGGCCTACTGATAGACTCCTTGCCGGCTGAGCACATGTGGAGCCATCTGTATGCAACAAAATTCACCAAAAACTACAGGGGACAGACCATAAATCCGGGGTGAATGGGTTAATAGTCTAAACCAGTGATTCCCAAAGAGGGGGGGGGGCCAAGAACAGAATTTCTGAGGCGATATTTTGAGGACATAGGTGGATAAAACCACTGGCTGGGGGAATTTACATATATATTTTTTTTTTTTTTCTTTATATATATATGTGAAAAGAGGGCAACAACCTTAAAAAGATTGGGAACTACTGGTTATATATATAAGAACGTTCGAATACTTTATTTCTCTTTTAAATAGGTTCTGTTGAAAGAAAATCAATGCACATGTTCATGTTTATTTACCTGTACCGGAAATATTTCTAGGACACAACAATATATATATACATTTTTTTTTTATAATTACCTGGAATTTACACAGTGCTATTTAACCCATTGGTGCCGGGTATAACGTGTACGTACGTGCTATGCCCACCGTGAGTACTTGTTTGATTGTTTTTACGCATAGATACTAAATCACCAATGAGCCAACTACGAGTACCGCCCGTCTCGCCCGTTTACCCGTTTCTTTGATTTACAAAATATTTTACGTAATCTTATTTTACTGTTACTAATGTTAAAAAACATTATAAAAATATATTATAGAAATATATTAATTATAATGTTTATGATAAAGATAACACCATCGATTTTCATAGCACTAGTGAAAAATACGTTTTTCGCGCCATTTCAAATCAGGCGCTAGCAGAGCCATCTATCGGCAGACATTTCACGAAAAACATAGAAAGTGGGCACAGCATTTTCCCCATTTTTTGTTCATTTTCCCCGGCACAATTGGGTTAACTACCAGTAACTATGAAAGGATACACGAATATTTGTCGCTGGGAACTAGACTTAAACTGCAGGAATAAGATGTTTGTCTATAAAGCTCAAAATATTTACTCTGATTCACGAGCAGCGTTATCTTCAAAATATATGTCATTATTAACAAAACGAAGTTATTACTGCACGTTCTGTCCCTCATAGGTTCCCAACTGTCATTGAGTATTTGCAGCAGAATAGCAGAAAATAGTAATAATAATAATAATAATGAGAGGAAGAAGAATGATAATAATAATGATGATGATACTAATTCGAAAAAATAATGATAATGTTAATGATAATAAGTAACAATAATATTAGATAAAAATAATAACTAACTATATTAACAATGATAATAATAACAACAACAAAGATAATATCAACAACAAAAAATATCAATAAAAATAACGAATTATTATATTTAAAAAGAAAGGAAAAGAGAAACAAACAATAAACTAGATTTTTTTAAACATCAAAAAGTATTCTAAAAACATCAGACCAAAAAACATCTAAACCTGAAATATCCAGAACATGTCCAATCCTAAAATATCAGACCAAAAACATCCATAAAAAAAAATCAGACTAAAAACGTCCAGACAAAAAAATCAGACCAAAGACATCCAGACAAAAAGTTAAAGATAAATAAATAAATAAAATAAAAATATTAAATCAAAACAAAAATATCTATACAAAAAATCAGACCAAAAACGTCCATACAAAAAATCCGACCAAAAATGTCCGGTCAAAACACATTCAGACAAAACAAAATCACTACAAACACCCATACAAGAGATCTGATCAAAAACGTCCAGATCAAAAACATACAGCCACCCCCCCCCCCCCAAAAAAAAAATGCAGTCCAAAAACATTAAATAATAAAAATGAGGCCAAAAAACGTCCAGTCCAAACAAAATATCAGACCGAAAATGTCCAGACCAAAAATGTCTAGTCCAAAAATATCCAAACCAAACACATCAGACCAAAAATATCCAAACTAAACACATTCAGACCAAAAACATCCTGTCCTAAAACATCCAGACCAAAAACACCTAGACTTAAAACATATCAAAAACATCAGACCGAGCACAACCAGACTAAAGAATCCGACCAAAACCAACCAATCCTAAAATATCCAGACCAAAAACACCGAAACCCATAACATCCAGACCAAAAACACCCAGCCCAAAAAATCATTCTGATCATTCTGATCAAAAACATCAGACCCAAAAAAAACATCCAGTCAAAAAAAAAAACATCCATTTTAACAACATCCAAACCAAAAACAACCAGTAAGAAAAAAAAAAAAAAAAGAATACCCAGACCATACCCAGTCCAAAAACATCCACTCGAACTAGAAAAAGTACGCCCTCCGTTTGGCAGCCTCGTACGTGAGTGGGCAAACGACGCTGGCAACACTGTCGTAGATGGTTTCGGATCCTATTTCAACCGGTCGTTTCTTGCTGAGTTTGTTATACATGTGCAAGATGTAGGCGTCTTTGTGTTCCTGCAAAGAGAGAGGGAGGTGAGTGACAGTCCGGTTTCTCTAGCCATTCTTCATATTGCAATCTACTTTGTTGTGTGTGAGCGTGATTGTATGACTAAGTAGGTATTAGTTCATGATGGAATCTTCTTAAAGCGGGTGGGTGTGTCTGCGCAGATATTATGTTTGTTTACCCCTAGGAATTTGCTTCCTATTCCCTTCTTAAAGTAATTCCCCCACTGTGTCCAGGTATAGAGTTGCATATTCCTCAACGGCATCAACTGCAGGCTGTCGCATTTCTCGTAAAGGATCTTATTCAGGTTCTTGGTTCCGCAGACCTTCTTGGCGATGTGCGAAGCCGCCCCTGGTCCGTTGACGTGCCACTTGGCCACCTGGAAGGGTCAGAGGAAGGAATGCTGCTATTTTTCATGTTACATACATTTCCTGATAATACATGTCCCTGCTGAAAACTCCCTAGGTCATATAATCCATGAACTCACCTGGAAATTTTGTTTCAGGTACTCCATGGTCTCGAGAATGAACCGATGGCGGGCTTCGAAGTGCATGATGGCGTTGTTGGCGACCTTGTCCTTTTCGTCATAAGCGATCGCGTTGTGCAGGTGCGTGACCTTCCTGACGCAGATGCAGTCGGTGTCGGTGGTCATCCCTCCCCACAGCCACAGCAGGACGTTCCGCAGTAGATTAGAGAGGTTGTTCGCCGGCCAAGCTTTGGATGACACACGATTAGATGTTGATCAGATGGAGCTGTGCAATACTGAGGGCAAAAGCGGCTGAGAAGGAATTTCAGAGTTCCGTTCATTTAGGCGTTTAAGAGTATAGCTGGGTACAAAATGGTTGTATGGCACACACACACGCACACACACACACACACACACACACACACACACACACACACACACACACACACACACACACACACACACACACACACACACACACACACATCTCAAAGGCCACATTTTTATAAATGTTTGTTCCTATCTATATGTGTCTCAGTACATATCTTTCGATCTCAACATTTCTGTCGTATGACTACGCATTTCACTCGTTGATAAATAACT